TGATTCATTTCAGTTTTTATTGAAGGTTGACTATTGGCATGGTAGGAAAATACATGCTACTGGATAGAGTCCATCCATGCCTTACCAGAGCTTATACCAATGAATCAACTTTTCATTTATCAGATACTTTCTCCTCCTCATTCCTCATTTTTCCAATAACCTACAAGGTCACTGCAGTCAGGAACAAGTCAGGTGTTGGTTTCATTTAGAACACTTCATGAAACTACTTTCACTACTTTCTGCATCCTTCCCCTCTTGGTGGTGGTGGTGGTGGTTATGTGCCGTGGAGTCAGTTCCGACCCATAGCGACCCTGTAGAGGGTTTCCGAGGCTGTAAATCTTTAAGGAGCAGAAAGCCTCATTTTTCTCCCGCGGAGCAGCTGGTAGTTTCGAACTGCTGACCTTGTGGTTTGCAGCCCAATTCGTAACCACTACGCTAAGCATATGACCTGTTTTTGTAAGTAAATCTTTATTGGAAAATGACCATGCCCATATTAAAAAGTATATTACTGATAGCTGCTTTCAGTGTTACAATGGCAAGCCTGAGGAGGTATGTAAAACTTAAAATATGGTCCACAGAACCCAAAATATCTACTATATACAAAAGGAGTTAAAAAACTGTGTGGAAAAATGGAATTAAAAGATAATACAAATTTTCTACACATTTTTTGTAACACCCTTGTAGAGTTGTGCAGAGAAAGTAGTACTAATAGAGATTATAGTCTTTTGTAACTTTTTCTTCTTTGCTTTCATTTTTTTTTTTTTTTATTGTGCTTTTACAACCCTTTAAATATGTAAAAAAGGAAAAAAAAAAATCTTGGATCACTGGCTTTCCAACACCAGGCATAGGCAGGATTTGACCCATGGATTCTGATTCACCAACCTCAGTTTTAGACCAATTATCAATTTAAAGTGTAGATACAATCACACCATTCCTTGTTAAATATCTCCAAAGATCCTCAATTATATTTAAATAAAATCCAAACTTTTAAACTGTATCTATAAGGCACTGTAGGATCAGCACTGGACTGCAAACCACAAGGTCAGCAGTTCAAATCCACCAGCTGCTCTTCGGAAACTCTACACAAGGTCACTATGAGTCGGAACCAGGTCGATGGCACTAACAACAACGTAAGGCCATTGAGATCCAGCCACTGCTCACTTCTCCAACTTTATTGCATATGATATATTCATACTCCAACTGACTTGCCCTGCTCTATGCACACTTGTCTTCTGAGAGACCTCAAACTTCCTAAGTGTATTCCTGCCTCAGGGCCTCTACATTCTTCCTTCTATGGCCACATAAATCTTGTCAGAATTTTCTTTTCCAATTCAGAAGGGTCTCACCTAATTGTAGTTAGTAGGTGCCCTCCAGTTGGTTCTGACACATAGCGACCATATGCACAACAGAACAAAATATTGCCCAGTTCTGCGCCATCCTCACAATTGTTGTTATGCTTGAACACATTGCTGCTGCCATGTGTCATTCCATCTGGTTGGGGGTCTTCTTTTTCATTGACTCATCACTTCATCAAGCATAATGTCTTTCTCCAGGGACTGGTCCCTTCTGATAATATGTATGAAGTAACCTAGTCAAGGAGTCCTGGTGTACTGCTGTGGGTTAATGCACTGGACTGCAAGGTCACTTTGAACCTCAAGGTTGGCGGTTCAAGTTCACCCCCTGCTCCTCAGAAACCCTATATAGGGTCACTCTGAGTTGGTACCAACTTAATGGCACTTAACAGCAACAACAACAACAGCACATAGAAAGTCTCAACCTCCTGGCTTTCTGACTGTGCTTCTTCCAACACAGATTTGTTTGTTCTTTTGGCAATACTTTGAATATTCTCCTCAAACACCATAACAACTAAAATACCTCAATTCTTCTTCGATCTTCCTTATTCATTGTCCAACTTTCACGTGCACATGAAGCTATTGAAAATGTCATGGCTTGGGTCAGGTGCACCTTAGTCCTCAAACTGATATCTTTGCTCTTGAACACTTTAAAAAGGTCTTGTGCAGCAAATTTGCCTAATGCAATATGTCATTTGATTTCTTAACAGCTGCTCCCATGAGTGTTGATTGTGGATTCAAGTAAAATGAAGTTGTAGACAATTTTAATTGTTTCTCCATTTATCACGATGCTATTTATTGGTTCAGTGATGAGGAGTTTTGTTTTCTTTAAATTGAGGGACAACCTTTACTGAAGGTTGTGGTTTTTGATCTTCATCAGTAAGTATTTTAAGTCCTCTTTGCTTTCAGAAAGCAAGGTTGTATCATCCACATATCAGTTTGTTAATGAATCTTCCTTCAATCATGATGCTGCCTTCTTCTTCATGAAATCCAGCATGCCAAATTATTTGCTCAGCATAGAGATCAAATAAATACGGTGAAAGAATACAACCAGTCATACATCTTTCATGATTTTAAATCATTCAGTGTCCCTTTGTTCTGTTTGACAAACTGTTGATTGAACTATGTATAGGTTCCTCATTAAGTGTTGTGGAAAAGCCATTCTTCACAAAGTAATCCATAACTTGTTATGAGCCTCACAGTTGAAAGCCTTTGCATAGTTAATAAAGCACAAATAAACATCTTTCTGGTATTCTCTGTTTTCATTCAAGATCCATCTAATATCAGCTGTGATATCCTAGTTCTAGGTCTTCTTCTGAATTTGACTTATTTCTTACTTTGTGGTGGTGGTGATGTTTGCCACTGAGTTGGTTCTAACTCCTAGAGACCCTGTATAGAGTTTCTGAGGCTGTAAATCTTTGGGAGTAGAAAAACCATTTTTTCCTGTAGAGCAACTGGTAGATTTGAACTAGTGACTTTGCGGTTAGCAGCCCAGATTGTAAATCCACTACACTACCAGGGCTCCTTTATTAATTGCCCTAATGAAAATAGCCCACACCTAATGCTCCAGTCCCTGGAGAAGGATATATTGCTTAGTAAGTAGAAGGTCAATGAAAAAGGAAAGACCTTCAGTAAGTTGAATTAATATAGTGCCTACAACAATGCAACAAACATAGGCAAACATAGGAGCATTGGTGAGACTGACACAGGACCAGGCAGTGCTTTGTTCTGCTGTACATAAGGTCATTATGAATTGGAACCAACTTGATATCACCTAACAACAAGACCCAGTTACTCTCTATCTCTTTAACATTATAAGATGCTTAAGAGCACTTAAGGAACCATCATGGTACAATGGGTTAAGCACTCAGCTGTTAACTGAGAGAAGGTGATTCCAACTCCCCAACCACTCCATGGAAGAAAGATGTGATTAATAAGCTTCAGTAAGGATATATCGCTTTGAAAACATTAAAGGGTAGTTCTACTTGGTGCTATGAGTTGGTTTGAGTTTGAGTTTTTGGAGCACTGATATAAAATTGTTTCCTATTGTCTAGTCCACTCCAACTCACATAGACCCAATGTATAATAGAATAAATGCTGTCTGGTCCTATGCCATCTTGAAGATAACTGACTGGCTATTTGTATGTGGAGTCAGCTTTGACTCATAGTGACCCTGTATAAGGTTTCTGAGTCTGTAAATCTTTATAGGAGCAGAAAGCCTCATCTTTCTCCCACAGAGTGCCTGGTGGATTTGAACCGCTGACCTTTCTGTTAGCAGCCCAATGCATAACCCACTACGTCACCAGGGTCCCTTGATAATAACTGGCATGATCAGATTTACTGTTGCAGCAACTGTGTACTTTGAGTGCCTCCCAACCTAGGGGGTTCATCTTCCAACAGTGCCTCAGATAATATTCTACTTTGATCCATAGGGTTTTCATTGGCTAACTTTCAAAAGGTTTTTTTGGTGTTTTTTTTTTTTTTTTTGCCTAATCTGTCTTAGCCTGGAAGCTCTGCTGAAACCTGCCCACCATGGGTTATCCTGATGTAATTTGAAATACTTGTGGCATAACTTTCAACATCATAGCAGCATGATAGCTATAACAGTGAACCAACAAGACAAGTGGGTGACATTTTGTGAAATACTTTATTTGCTTTCATTTCCTTGTTTACGTTCTGTGGGACTAGTATGAAAGCTCTGTGAAGGTAGACAATTTATATGTTGCTCACTGTTGTGTTGTTGATACTAGGTCGGGTTACAGAAGACTAGAAAGTAATGAAATGTAGTATTAAAGAGTTTGATTAGAGTATGGAAATAACTGCAGGGGAGAAATGCCATAGACAGCAGAACTGTCTGCAGGACAAACTTGATACCGACAGTAGTATCTCTCCTTGTGGTCATAGTCTAAGGAGTTGTTATAGTGAGGAGTTAAGCTGTAGAGGCAGTTCTGCCAGATTTCAAAAAAGGGGCAGGCTTTCTCATTCGTGCATTTCCATATTTGTGTGCTATTTACTTGTGTCTCTTTTTCTATGCTGTGTACACATCTGGTGTTCGTAATGGAGTCTAAGATTTTAAGATGGATTCTGTTGCAGAGGTGTCTGGGATACTTGACATAAATGTCTACTCATGCATCCTACTGTCAGAATCCTGGTTCAAGAACCACGTTTGCCCTGGTGGTGCAGGGATGTTTTGCACCTGTACTGAAAATTGGTTAAGGGGAAGTTAATGGGTAGTTTGAGATAGCTAAGGGTTAACAAACCCATCTGGGTAGCTGAATATAGAGGGAAGGCTAACAAACCCCGCTGGGTTATGGACACATAAGGAGATAGATTCCGTACCTTGTTTATATCTTGCCTGCCAGACAAGGAGATAATTTCTTTGTATTGGGAGATTATTTTTTATGGTTCTATTGATCTTTTTGCCATTAATTTCCTCTTGACCCTTTACCCTAACATTGTCAACTCTAGCACTAGTATATATTCAGCAAATAAATATTTGTTGAATGGATGACTGACTTGCTATATGCAGTGAATATTTCTTTTCCTTTTCAACTGATTAAGTTTGTGGAAAATAATTTACTGTCACCCTGCTATTGAAAATATTGTTTCCAGGTGTTTCCATCTGCTGCCCACATATATCTTCAATAGCCAATTGGCATCTATTTTATCCTTGAAGAGACATGTATATTCCTTAAGGCTAAAGATGGGATTTTCAAGACCAAATTCTTTGGCAGTCATATTGAAAAGTCTGTTTATATCCAGAAGCCCAAGCCTGATAAGAGAAGGAAATATGAAGTTCACATAGAACTTGTCTATTGTGCAAAAGTGGTTAAGTTACTCCTAGACCCCAAACCCTGAATTATACTGACTCTGTTTCAAATACCCTCAGCCGAAGTCCTTAGATAATAATGTAAGTAAAGTTTAGAGTAAATAAAGAGATGAACAAAATAGATCTAATTTCCAGAAAAAAGGCAGTAGCTTTTTAGCACCTTACAAATGAAATACCCATACTATAATAGCATGCCATGTGCACAAGGGTCAGAAATCTCAAAATGATATCTGTCACCCCAACTCTAAAATTTGACAGCTCCAGAAAGGAATGGAGACCATCAAAGTTACTGGTCCCTCTGTCCCCCATTTGTCCTTTCCTTTAACTTAAAACTGTATGAATGAGGGATTTCAATTGCTCTTTTGATTGAAATTTTCTTTTATCCATCCATAAAAAAAAAAAAAAAAAAAAAAGGCCATTGTGATGTGATATTATCCAGACTATGTCCTGGTGTGACACTGCAGGATAAGTACTGGACTGCAAGGTCGGTTTGAACTGCAAGGTCAATGGTTCAAATCCACCAGTCACTCGTCGGAAACCCTATACAGGGTCACTATAAGTAGAAACCAACTCGATGGCATGTAGCAACACCATGGTGAGCAAAGATTTCTTATGACCCAACTGATTCTCCTCATTGCTACCTGTGTGTATGCCCACTTTTTCTGCTTTCATGTTTCTTGCCAATGATTCTATTTGGAACAGAGAGACAATTGATAAGGGGGTAATATTTCAGCCTGAAAAATGATCTGCCACCATGCTCAAATGTGTTTATAGTGTTCTTCATTAATATCTAAGAATATTATAAATATAATTACTGTAAATGTCATTATACTTACTAACTTTTTTGAATGCTCACTGCACACTAAGGGCAGTTTACTTGGATGATTTTAGCCATTCTTGCCTATTATGTAAATAGTTGCTTTTGAACATATCTTCTCCTTCTTCCCTCACTCACTCTCTTTTTCCTTCCCACCATTATCTTCTTTCTTCTTCTCTCTGTTCTTCTCCTCTTTCCTTCCCTTCTTTTCCCCTTCCCTTCCCTTCATTCTTCCCTTTTATTTTCTTGCTGTAAATGGTAAAGTCTGAGAATTTCTTTAGGCTGCACAATGGGCTTCTGGAGTATTGTTCACACTGTTACATCAAACTGATTGAAAGTTAAAGGACCTATGCAATTTGTGATGTTTTCTCAAGTAATGCATAATTTGATCTGCTAACTTATGCATTGTCCCCATTTTGTTGTATGATCTGCATGCTATTCCAAAGGTGCCATGGAACATCAGTGGTTGGCTTGAAAAGAACAAAGACCCTCTTAATGAAACAGTGGTGGCTGGCTGCATTTCAGAAATCTTCCAACAAAATCCTGGTGAGTCTTTTTTGAAAATTACATCAGTACTGACAGTGGTGAGTGAAACAATCATCCTTGATTTGTCAGTCTCAGAATAGAACCGGTTACTGCCTCAGCATTTACAAAAACCCTTGCCTCTTTCCTATTATATTTACATCTGCTCCCTGTGGTCTGAACCATCCTTTGTTATTGTCCTGTCTGTCTTTAGTCTGGTGTTTCTGCAGGGAAATAGTACTAGTGTTATCTGATAGATATATTCCAAGCACTCTACTTCTGATCTATGAGGACAGTGGTGGTTCAGGGCTAGCTTTCTGTCCATTCTTGTGGGAGACCCAGGTTTGATTACTGGCCAAGGCATCTCATGTGAAGCCACAAGCCATCTGTCAGTGGAGACTCGTATGTTGCTATCATGCTGAGTAGGTTTCAGTGGAGCATAGAATTATGTTATGGTAAATAATTTGGGGAAAATAACAAATCCCTTTAATATATATTTTCAAAGAAGAATAAAAAACCCTCAAGTATATTTCAAAAGTTCCTTAAAACACTCTGTATTTTTGTAATTATTATAAGCTTCCTGAGGGTAAAGACTATGCCTGACCTATTCAACTATAGATTTAGAATCTGACAAATACCTGGTTAGGAGGCACCTGATGAATACTTATTAACCACCTATATGAATAATTTCTTTTGGAAAGATCATCTGGAGGCTGGTCTCTATGAGTTGGAGGTTAAAGATATCCCAACTTTCTGACTTTTCTAACATGTTATCAAGGACCATTCCATAGTCCTTGATATCAATCACCACTCCTTCCCTCCCTCAAATCCCAGGTTCTCCTAACATCTCACAATAATCACAGTTGTCAAAGGAAATGGCTCATGCAATTGTGAAGGCTGGCAAATCCCACATCCATATTTCAGAAATCAGTCTGGAAGCATATTCTTACAGGAGTTAAGGAACTTAAATCACCAGATCAGATGACAGGCTGTTGATACACCTGGTGAGGTGATGGGCTGAAAGTCACATGAATTGAAAGTCAGACATAATGAGTCAGATGTAAGATCCAGGACAAGAGAGTGAGTTTTTCAAAAGCAGTGCTAGAAACTGGAGTCAGATCATGTCCCCAAGGGAAACGAAGAGTCATAACTTGAGTCACACCCACTAGTAAACTGGGGGCATCCTTAATCCTTAGTTTCACTGTAATCCTTGCTCCTTGTTGTTGTTGTTATGTACCATAGAGCTGTTTCCGACTCACAGTGACCCTGTACAGGGTTTCTGAGGCTGTAAATCTTTACGGGAGCAGAAAGCCTCATCTTTTTCCCCCAGAACAGCTGGTAGTTTCGAACTGTTAACCTTGAGATTAGCAGCCCGATTCGTAACCATCACGCTACCAGAGCTCCTTAATCCTTGCTCCTTGTTGTTGTTGTTATGTGCCATCGAGTCAGTTACGACCCATAGCGACCCTGTACAGGGTTTCTGAGACTATAAATCTTTACGGGAGCAGAAAGCCTCATCTTTCTCCCGCGGAACCGCTGATAGTTTTGAACTTCTGACCTTGAGGTTCGCAGCCCGATTGGTAACCACTATGCTACCAGAGCTCCTTAGCTTCCCTGTACCACCTGACAATTTATCTTGTGTAATATTTTATAATTTACAGATTACTTTTAGATATATTAGCTCAGTCAATCCTTGTCATGACCCTTTTAAGTAAGGGGGACTAGTTTCATATCAAGGAACCAGTACCTGGCTGCTTCTGTGCATGATAACATAATTCAGGAACATGTCTGAAATCCCATAGGCCTTCCTCAAGATCAGGTTGAGATATGGAAACTGTTGTGTTTGAGCTGTGATAATTTTCAGGTAGTGCCTTTGCCTATTAGCTCCTATGGTCCTCCTGAGAACTCTCTTAGACAGTGGCCACATAAGTTTATGGATCCCAGTTAAGTAGTTCACTGACCATAAGAAATCAGATAGTGGTTTAAGGACAGAATTAGAAAGAAAATTATTTTCTTACTCTTCAGCATTTGTGCTTTGGAACTAGAAGAGAAGAATTGTCCAAAATGTTCTTTTTCATAGTTCTTCAAAGTAGCCCTGGAAAATACTTGCCTTCAAGTTCCTGACTCATCCAAGCATGAAATTGTTCATTTAATAACTATACTTTCTCTGGGGAATTTAAGTAGTTTGACTAGAGTTATAACCCATATATATATATATATATACAGTATGGCACTGCTAGATAAACACTGTACTGTGAACCACAAGGTTAGCACTTCAAACCCACCAGCTAATCCTTGAAAATCCTACATTGGGTCACTATGAGTTGGAATCGACTGAACAGCACTTAACAACAAAATATATGATGAAAGAGCCCGGGTAGTGTAGTGGATTATGACCTGGGCTGCTAATCACAAGGTCAGCAGTTCAAATCTACCAGCTGCTCCTTGGTAGAAAGATAGACTTTCTGCTCCCAAAAAGATTTACAGTTTCAGAAACATTGTACAGGGTTGTTATACATCACAATCAACTCAGTGGCACACAGCCACAACCGCCATATATATGATTATTCCTTTTCATTGGTGGAAAAACTGAAGTACAAAGAGGTCAACTGATTCTCTAGAGGACCTCCATGATTCAGCTTCATGATAGCTGCCTCAGTACAGCTGCCACTAAGGCCCAGAGAATATCTGATTTGTTTTCCATATTCATAGCTAGTTCATTTTCTCTAGGTTGCCTGTGGGTTTTGTTGCTATATTGTATGTCTTAGAGAGTTAATACTACTTAACAAATATTTATAAATCAGATTGACTTACCATAGTGTCCTTTGCTGCAAGAAAATAGGAATAGATTTTTTTTAAAATAAATTATATAAGGAAGCATAAATGTTAAAAATACATACAATATAGAAAAATTTAAAAGAACATAAAAATGCCTTTGGTTGTTAAATGCCATTGAGTCGGTTCCAACTCATAACAACTCTGTATAGGGTTTCTGAGGAGTAACTGATAGATTTGTGCTGCCGAACTTGTGGTCTAAACCAACCTTGCAGTCCAGTGCATTATCCTGCAGTGCTAAAGAGATAATAACTCTTAAGACTTTAGTGTATAACCCTTGCAATATTTTCTATGTATGCAGTCATCTGTAACATACCTTGCTGATGAATTTATTCTGACTAATAACAACCTTGTAGGGCAGCATAGACATGCCCCATAAGGATGCCAAGGCTGTAATCTTTATGGAAGCAGACTGACATATCTTTGTCCTATGTGACAGTTTTTGTGTTCAAACCAACACACTTTTGGTTAGATGAGTGCTTATCCACTGCAACATCAGGGTTCCTTATCTATAACATTACCACGCTTAAAAACATGAACAGGCACTTAAGATCGTAATATGCAAACTGTTTTGTAGCCTAAGTTTCATTTAAAATAAATCCTAGTAATGTTTTTATGCCAATTATATGACTCCATATCATTTTAAAAGACTGTAATGATCCACTGGTGTGGTACTGTAGGATAAGCACTTGATTGTAAGGTTGGTTGAGCTGCTTAGTCTGTGGTTCAAACTCACCAGGCACTCCTTGGAAATCCTATACAGGGTCACTATGAGTTGGTACCCACTTGACAGCACTTAACAACAATGGTCCACTGTATGCATTGTTATCAAGTTGGCTTGACTATGGAGAACTCATATTTAAAGAACAAAATGTGGCCTGGTCCTGTGCCATCTTTGTGAGGGTTTGTATATTGGAGCTATTGTTGTGGTAGGCTGTGTTATATATGTGTTCTTGCTGAGTGTAATTGTGTCAATCCAGCTCATTGAGAGTTTCTTTGTTTTCACTGACTCTGCATGCACTCCTTCATAATTTAATTAAGCAATCTCCTATCGATGGATATTTGTTGATAATTTATTTTTGCTTAATTTTTGGCCCTGAATAAACAGTACTACAGGATGTTTGCTCAGTTGTCTGTTAATTTCTTAAGGAAAAGCATTAGAAATAGACTATGTTCAAATACATAAATATTTTAAAATCTTTTGATAAATATTACCATACTGCCTTATGAAACATTGATAAACTTATGCTTCCATTAGCAAGGTTTGAGAATGTGACAAAGTGTGCTTTACAAATGCTTACTCTTTCTTTTTTTTTTAGTTTTATGATATGATGAGAAGAAATGAAAAAAAATTAAAATGAGCTTCATTCCAAATGATTAAATCTCTGCATAAAGGACTTTTAAACTATGTCTATTCATATATTGTTGTTGTTGTTGTTGTATGCTGTGGAGTCAGTTCCAATTCCTAGCAACCCTGTGTTGGATTTCTGAGAGTGGCTGGAGGGTTTGAACTGTGGACCTTGTGGTTAGAAACAGTCCAGTTCTTATCCTACAGCACCACTAGGGCTCATTCATATGCTCGGCTTTTCTAACTCCAGGTCTTTGTACATTTCATTATATAAGGGTGAGTCAAAAATTATCTGCATTCTGGTTATATTAAAATACCTGTCCACATCCATGGCTGATGACAACATAGAGGATGTATATGAAGTGATTCTGTCGAATAGATGAGTAACAGTGGATTATGTGGCAAATCATTTGCAAATCAACCATGGCTTTACCTATGAAATAATCCATGACAGACTTGGACTTTTAAAAGTTTATGTGAGATGGGTACCAAAACAACTCACAGAAGAGCATAAATAGAATCATTTGCAGATCTGCAAACAAAATTTGGACCAATGCTTGAAGGAAGGGAAGGTTTCTTTGAAAATATAGTTACTGGTGACAAGATATGAATTCATTACTACGAGCTTGAGAATAATCGCAGAGTTTGGAATGGAAACATCCTCAATCGCTGACCTAGAAAAAGTTCAAAAGTCAACCATCAGCTGGAAAATTGATGCTAACAGATTTCTGTGATTCTCAAGGGCCAGTATTGGAACACTAACAGGAAAAAGTGCTCATTACAGTGAGATGGTCACTGAAGAGCTAAAGCCTAAACTTCAGATTAAATCCAGGGGCGCGTTGTGATTTTGTATGACAATGCATGTCCACACACCCTTGC